CAACCCTTTATTGTTAAGTGAGGGGGCAGCCAAAAATATTTCAAGTGTCCAACAGACTGCTCAGTAATGGAATTTTTCGCAAAATGCACTAAAAGTAAATGCCCTATGGGAAAGAGGAACAGTAATAATATAATAGGTGTCTACAGAAAAATTCCAAGGTATTTCTGTATGTGCAGCATTATGTTGGGAAGTTAGATGGAATGGAACTGACAAGTTCAGGAGCCCTTCTTTCTGACATTTTAAAATTTTTTACAAGAAATAAAAATTGTCAGCATAGTTAAAACTCATGTCTGAGTCTTCTGTATTTCGGTGATAGCAGTGTGATCTGTCAGATCCTGGACACTTCTCTAATCAATCAGTAAGCATTGCATTTTATGCTTGCCAGAGCTTCAAGCAGTCTCTTTATAACACTTCGATAAGAAATCGATCCAGTGTTCAGATTCAGCACCCAGAAGTATAGTTTAGGGGTTCTCAAACTTCACTGCACTGCGATGCCCTTCTGACAACAAAAATTTACTACACGACCCCTAGAGTGGGGACTGAAGCCTCAGCCCACCCGAGCCCTGCTGCTCTGAGCCGGGGGTCCAAAGTCCAAACCCCACCACCCTGAGTAGGGGGGCCCAAAGCCCAATGGCTTCATCCCTGGGCAGGGCCTGTAAACTGAGCCCTGCTGCCCAGGGCGGAGGCCAAAGCCTGAGCCCTGGGTGGTGGGGCTCGGGCTTCAGCTTTGGCCCTGGGTCCCCAGTCAGTCTAATGCCACCCCATAAAATGGGGTCCTGACCCACAATTTGAGAACCGCTGGTCTAGTTCTTCCTTCCTGTCACCTGTGAATAGCATCAGTCCGTTTTAATTTACTTTAATTCTTACACTGTAGCTGCATGCAGGGGTCACTTTTTTTCTTATTTATGTAATCTGACTCACAGGACCTCTAGACAATGTTCTCAGCATTGTGCAGAAGTTTACAGAAACACTGACCTCTTTGACCCACAGAGGGATCAATTTTATTCCACATCAGAATGATTAAGTAGGGTGGAGAATTCTGCCAGCTTGCCTTGTGTGGAATATTACAAGTTTTCACCCAGTAATTGTTCATCCTCATTAAGAACCAGTAATCAAACATGATCCACTCCATTAAGTAAAATGGAATTACTGTACTTCCTGAAATTTTATGATGAAGAAACTCCAAGAACTTATTCACTACTATATTCCTAACCCCTGTTAACTGTGTACCTGTGTAATTAGTGCAGTGTCACAGACAATTTGACTTTTGAACAGTTTATTGCTGACTTTCAGTAATAAACCACAGTTTGACAGAGACTTGCACACTAGGGCAAACTGGAAAAGAGAGAACTTTTATATGTAAAGGAACTGACTTAGCCAGTAAGTACTCTCCTCACTTCCACCCTCATCACTGTTTTTCTGGTATATCCTGCACATGTGTGATTGACACCATTCTGCTGTCATGAAAACCGATGTCAAATTTCAATGGAACTACTTCCCTGTAGGATAAAGCAAGAATAATCCCTTTTAGAAAAATTTGCAGTACAGAGATCAATTGTTGCATGTATAGTTGTTGGCGAGATAGCAGGGCATCCCAACAAAAGCTATGTCATCGCCCATCATGTATTTTGTATTTGAGCTCTTCTAGAAAACTTTAATTTGTAGCTTATTTTGATCTCTCTATCTCCAAAGCCAAATGGCTGCCGTAGTTCCTGGGGCTTTGGAATGACAACATTTGGTAATAACATCCAGAAATTAAACTTTAGTTTTCTAGAAATGAAAATGGTATGATTTTAAGAACTAATATTGTATGACTGGCCAGGGCTAAAAACTACTGTTTGACACTACCAGAAAATTGGAAATCCCAGTGTGTCCATGAGACATTGGTTTGGTTTCTAGTGCAAGCTGGTCATGAAATACTAAACCCTAAAAGAGTCAGTGGACCTGCACTGAATGTAGCCTGTGTGATTTGTAATGTAAAGCCTGCTTTTATCCATGTTTGGAGGAAAAGAAAAACCATTTCTGTGGTAGGTTCTTTTTTAATTAAAAAAGGTAGCTGTATAAAGCTGCTCAGAGGTTAGGAATGTGGGCAGTCATCTCAGAAGATGGATTAGTAGGCTGAGTGCACGTGAGAAGGTCAAAAGAGCAAAACAAATTCAGGTCTCAGTCTTCCCCCGCCCTTATAGTTGTGAAACTAAAGGAACTTGTTGCATGGATATCATGACTATACATGTTGGGATATCTGTGTCTTTGTATACTCTTCTTTAGTTGTGGCATTCATATTGCCTCAAAACAATCTTGCAAATTGTCATGTAAATCAGTCCATGCACGGTATACTCCAGTGGTTCTCAGCCTGTGGCCCACGGGCCGCTTGTGGCGCAATCGGCACAGAACTGCAGCCCATGTGACATCCTCAGGGCCATACAGGTAATATGCAGCCCACAATGGTAAATAGGTTGAGAACCACTGGTCTACTCACTGACGTGTAAAGAAAATTACGATATCAGATTCTTCTTAGCTAATTGGATAAGTAGAATTTTGCAAGTCTGCCTTCCAGTATTAAAACAGTGATTTTGAAAAACATTACTTTTCACCATTTATGTTGTCGATATTGTGAGTGAGTGGATGGTTAGGTACTCTGACTAGTGTACGTTTATTGCAATATGGGTAAAGTGAAACAGAATCTCTTTCTGGTTCTCATGAACTAGCATAATGGGGGGATGGTTCTAACACTGCAGAGGGAAGTTCTAAATTAAACTGGTTTTCATCTATTTTAAATATCAATTAAAACATTGCTACTTAATCTTGGGTTTGACCAAAATCTGCACAGTTTAGTCATTTAAACTTTCATTGTTTTTCATTGAAGTAAAATAGTGTTGCTACCACAATGCTTTAGTTATGGTTGAGGAAGAACTTTTTTAAATCTTTTCCACCCATCCACCTCTCCCTCAGGCACTTCTAACAATTTTACCAGCAAGGTGGAGTTGGGGGGAGGAGGGGAGGCGGCAAGTGTTGACTTTGGAGGTGGGGCTTGGTAGTGAGAGTCTATGCTTGTCATTACGGTCTACATCAAATTTCTTCAGTTTTCAGGGCTCACAATAAACTGCTTGCAAACTTTCTGGAATCTGAAGACAATCTGGGTTCTTTCTGGCTCACAAATGCTCAACGATGATGGAGATTCTGTAGATGAAATTTAGTTGAGAATTCTGTCAACGAGGGAAGCAGAAAAGAGTCTCTAATTTCTGCTTACCAAAAATTTCTTTTACTGTTGGTCAGTAAAATAAGTGCAGCTCTGAATGTGCCTGGGGCTGATTTGTTGAATAAGAAAGTTATATCGTTACATTATCGCTATCCTGGCTCTGGCCACTTCCTGGCAATGTTTCAGACTTTTTAATATTTGGATAATTTAAACATTTCAGATGTTAACAGGTAATAACTTTGCCAGTGTGCACTGAGTGGGGGGTTGAGGGGGGGGGGGGAAGATGATAATGCTTATCCTATGGGTTGGCTCTGGAGTAGTTACGATGCCACAGCATGGTGCATACTAAGGTAATGTAGCAGAGCAGCTGGTATGGCTTTGAGGGACCTGTAATGAGAGAAAAAAGGGAGAAGCCTTAAATGTTGCAAACCTGCCCAAGAGGTGCCCCTTGCACTGGAGGTATTCTTGAGGGGGAGAGCCCTACAGCTACTTTTGTGGCCACTTTGTGCTAACATAGTCCGTGCAAATGGGGTGTAGGGCAACAGAGAATTTGGACATTAATGGGGTGTTTTATGCAACTAGAAGAAAATAACATAAATGATCTTTCTCTGACCAAGAACTTCAGTTTCTTTTAACAGCTGGATAACTTAATATAACTTACTTTAAAATCATCCTGATAGTCTTCATCTTCTAATTATTCATCATATAAATCTCCATAATCCTCTTGAAAAACTGATCAGAAAGGATCAGACATTAAGCATTTCTGTAAAATTTGGTTCTAAACCTTGTTTTTTTCCCAAACACTTTTGGGTTTTGACAAAGTCCAGCAGAGAGAGAGAGAGAGAGACTACTCCTCATCAAATACACATTGATACACCCAAACCATTGGTGCTGTGGGAGGGAAAGAATGAACGCTTACTGGTACTTACCAAAATATTAGTCTCTCACTGTTTACCACTTGTTATCTTTAGAGGCTTGTCTTCCAACAGTAGAATTAACCAACACTTATGTCTGAGAAGTGCTAGCCCTCTTGAACTTCTGAGGAAATCTCTCCAATGAATGCATGTTAAAATATGATGCCGTATTTGTATTGGGAACTAGGGTAAGGATTTTAGATACATCTGTTATTCTGTGGCTCTTGGAGCATTTTTCAGAGTTGCCGCATGAACTCTTTACATAGAATATATAACTCCATAACCAAGCATGTTTATGCATCTCTTTGCTGATTGGAGTCAGTCACTCCCATTCTTGGAATAAAACTGTGCAAAGGAAATTTAACCACTTTTAAAATGTACACACAACACATTCTTCACACAGATTCCAGGTACCAACCCAATTTTACAAATCTGTAGCCTGGACATAAAATATTCCCAAGATTCAGATTTCAGAGTTAGGCATGTGTGGATAATTTGCATATGGACATCTGGTATTTGCACACCTGAGATGTGTGCATAAAATACACATCCCTACCATTGAAAATCTGTCTGTAAGAGTAGAACCGTGTGTCAGACTTGCAATAGCAAGTATTCTCATGCTATAAAAACAGAGAGTGAGACTGAACATCTAAAATGAATCTTGCAAAATATGATTGCCATTGGAAGTATTAATTGTAATTCAGTGAATTGTCTGAAGTGGTAACAAACATGAAATTAAATGAGATTTTTGGCTAAGCAGTGGCATTCATTGGCATTCATATATTGGGAGAGAGACTTCACTGAACCAGATCTGCTTATCAGGTATACCTTCCAGATTGACCAATAATCCATAACATTGATATATAACAGTATCTTCTCTTTTCCAGATGAAGTGGACTATAGTAACTTTGGGGCCAACACACTAACCAGGAAAAAGAAGGCTCTGGTGACCCTCCGCAACGACAACCTTCGCAGGCGTCCCCACATTAATATCAGCATGCCTCAGGATTTTAGACCAGTGTCTTCCATCATTGATGTGGACATTCTTCCTGAAACGCACAGAAGAGTGAGGCTCTATCGACACGGGTATGAGAAACCATTAGGATTTTACATCCGCGATGGGACCAGTATGAGAGTAACTCCTCATGGACTGGAAAGAGTACCTGGTATTTTCATCTCTCGTATGGTTCCTGGCGGCTTAGCAGAGAGCACAGGATTGCTGGCTGTTAATGATGAGGTCCTGGAAGTTAATGGCATTGAAGTGGCTGGGAAAACCCTTGACCAAGTAACGGACATGATGATCGCCAACAGCCACAATCTTATTATCACTGTCAAGCCAGCAAACCAAAGGAACAATTATAGCCGAAGCAGTAGGATGTCTGGCAGCTCAGGCCAGTCTACAGATAGCACAGCTAGTCACCACAGCTTGCCTTCCTCACACGTGCTGCAAAACTTCCATCCTGATGAGATGGAAAGTGATGAGGAAGCTGACATTGTCATTGAGGGTGGTTTGGACCCACAGCACATTCCCAAACTGCACAGCTTCCCCTCTAGTAGCCTCTCCCGAATCAATGGCAGCAGTCTTAGCCACAGACTTCAGAGAGACCTGGCTCTCAACAGTAACTCTGGCCGAGAAAGCAACGGCAACATCCACAAAATACTAAGCTCCTTAAAAACTGATCCCCGACATAGTTTGGTTATCCCCAGAGGAGGCATTGAAGAGGATGGAACCGTGATTACACTTTAGTGGCGGTTCCTGTACTGAGTGTTTTCAGTCTTAAGTGCCAATTGGAACAAATTGGACTCTTGCAACCCCTGACGCACAGAACAAGAGAACCTACATTCGTATAGACCCCATGGGTGTGAAAAATGTTACTTTCTAGGAAACATGGTTTTGGGGATTAGATGTAAAACTGTTACTTCAAATTCTGAAAAATAGTATAAATATATAGTTTATGTCCCAGTTTTAAAATGAGAGAGCAAATGGAAGCACCAAATCTAAAATTACTTTCAGTTGACACAAACTTCAGAAAAAATCCCATGAGCTAGGAAATGGCAGCGGTGCTCTTTTGGGTTTGCGTGGATTTTTGGGAATAGTAACAGACATGTCAGTTTGGGGTCTTTTTTTTTAAATTGGTCAGAGAAAAACAGTTTTCTCTTAAAATATTAAAAGTTCATGACAATTGATCAGTCCTCCTATTATTACATACTGGTCTTCCATTAACTTGTTTACACAGATTATTTGCCATGTTATGTCTAACCTGGACAAGCTCTATATAAAGTAGCAGTTTCCCACTCTGGTGGTAGCAATGTTGGGGAAACGCTGCATTTACACTTTCCAAACAAAACTTTGACCAAATGAGATGAGATGTGTGTATATGTGTAATTTTTTTTTAAAGTCTTAAGTAAGAGGCATAGAGGAGGATGTTGATACCATCATTCCTTTTAGATCAGCACCACCTGCTGGTCAGTGGCAGTACTGTCTGAGTTATAACATTTTTGTATATTAGGTTACTGTATGTGAAAAGGAAAATAGATTTACCTAGAGGAGTTTAAACTGACTCCAGCACCATCACATGAAAAGTGCATTTTTTTTTAAATATTTATTAGACAAGAACATTGCCAATTTTAGTGACTGTTGTTTTCATTGTCTCCATCTCTTGGTAACATGAGTAGTATGAATTTAGAGAACACAAGCCAGAAGGGCAACAAAAAATATGAATGACTTAAATACGTATTAGCACCACGTCTTAGACTACATCACTGATGGAAAGAGCTTTTTGCTGTGTTTTAGAGGCAATTTGAAACCACAAAGACTTTAGCTACAAAAGGCTGGCTGTCTATAGTACACTATTTGAAGGATACTGGCTGACTTCCTAGCCTATCTCTGAACAGTTTGCTCAATATTTCAGACACTGATGCATCAGAGAGGGATCTGCCATGTTGTTTAGGGATTTAAGAGCTACTAACTTGGGAGTCAATACCTGGACCCATTACCCAATGGAAGCAATTTTGCTCCGAATTCTGTTTCTCATCTCCAGAAAATGCCACAAATTGTTAAAATGGTCTAATCTAAAATATTTTGTAATATCTTCAACAGTTTAAGGAACAAATATAATTGTCTTACAATGTATTTTTCTACTTTTAGCTGTGTCATTTTCTTTTTTTTTTTAACCTTGTAGTATTGTGTATTAAAGCTTTTCTGATTTTTTTTTTAATGTGGTGGAATGGGCATTTCTTTAATATTGCACTGGGTTTGAAAACTTGGACGACTTAAGTTTTAACAAGGTGCAGTTCTGGACTTGGAAGGTGTATGTGGATTCCTTCTCACTCTAATTTTTAAAAATACAAATGAGCAACTTTTACTTTATTAACACAATGTTACACTGTTCACTGCCAGATATGCTTGAGGACATGGAATTAAATCTGTAATTTTTTGGATTTATCCTCTATCTTGGTGGGTCCTGCGCTTATTGGCGGATTTTCTTGCCTCAGAGATTCACCGTGTGGGTTGGGGAACAGCCCAGAGACCTTCCCCTCTGGAAGAACCCACAGTCCAGGTCAATTGGGAGGTTTGGGGGGAACCCGGGCCTGCCCTCTACTCCGGGTTCCAGCCCAGGGCCCCTGTGGCCTGCAGCTGTCTATAGTGCCTCCTGTAACAGCTGCATGACAACTACAACTCCCTGGGCTACTTCCCCATGGCCTCCTCCAAACACCTTCCTTAGTCTCAACACAGGACCTTCCTCCTGGTATCTGATAACGCTTGTGCTCCTCAGTCCTCCAGCAGCACACCCTCTCACTCTCAGCTCCTCACACTCGCACCACAAACTGAAGTGAGCTCCTTTTTAAAACCCAGGTGCCCTGATTAGCCTGCCTTAATTGATTCTAGCAGCTTCTTCTTAATTGGCTCCAGGTGTCCTAATTAGCCTGCCTGCCTTAACTGGTTCTAGCAGGTTCCTGATTACTCTAGTGCAGCTCCTGCTCTGGTCACTCAGGAAACAGAAAACTACTTATCCAGTGACCAGTATATTTGCCCTCTACCAGACTCCTGTACCCCACTGGTCTGGGTCTGTCACATATACCTCCCCCTGCTCAACGCAAGGGGTTGGGCAGCTTGGGACGCCAGACAGTGCACACGTGACAAGCCATCAGCGTTGCCATGACGGCTCTCTGCTCTGTGTTGCACACGGAACTGGAAAGGTTGCAGGGATAAGAACCATCTGGTCACCCTGGTGTTCTTCTCCTTGTTTCGCTGCATCCATTGAAGAGGGGCATGGTCGATCACGAGGACAAATCTGTGCCCGAGCAGGTAGTAGCGCAATGTTTCCATGGCCCATTTTACAGCGAGGCATTCTCTCTCCACCACTGCATATTTTTGTTCCCTTGGAAGGAGTTTCCGACTAAGGTATAGAATTGGGTGTTCCTCCTCCCCGACCATCTGTGATAGAACGGCCCCCAACCCTACTTCTGATGCATCCGTCTGCAGGATAAACTCCTTGGTGAAATCAAGGGCTATCACGGGGTTACTGCAGAGGGCAGTCCGTAGGTCTGTGAATGCTTCCTCTGCTATGTCAGACCATCTCACCAGATCAGATCCACGGGCTTTCACTAGGTCTGTCAGGGGGCTTGCCCTTGTGGCAAAGTGGGGGATAACTCGTCGGTAATACCCCACCACACCTAGGAATGCCCGGACTTGTTTCTTGCAACTTGGTCGGGGCCAATTTTGGATGGCCTCTAACTTGTTCACTTGGGGGTTTTACCAGACCTTTTCCCACAATGTAGACAAGATATTTGGCCTCTGTAAACCCTACAGCGCACTTGGCAGGGTTTGCTGTAAGGTCAGCTCGCCTGAAGGTATCGAGGACTGCCTCCACCTTCTCCAGGTGGGTTTCTCAGTCTGGGGTATGAATGACCACATCGTCCAAGTAGGCAGCAGCATAAATGTTATGAGGGCGTAATAGCTTGTCCATGAAGCGCTGGAAGGTAGCTGGGGCCCCATGTAGTCCAAAAGGGAGGACAGTGTATTGAAAAAGCCCCTCTGGTGTAGAGAACGCAGTCTTTTCCTTTGCGTCTTCTGCAAGGGAAATCTGCCAGTACCCCTTTGTCAAGTCTAGGGTAGTCAAGTACCGGGCATTACCCAGACGGTCCACTAGCTCATCTATGCAAGGTATGGGGTACGCGTCGAACTGGGATACTTCGTTTAGTCGCCAGAAGTCGTTGCAAAATCTTGTGGTGCCATCAGGTTTGGGCACCAGCACGATTGGGCTGGACCACTGACTGTGGGATTCTTCGATGATCCCCAACTCCAGCATTTTTTTTACTTCTGCTTTTATTTCCTCCCTTTTTGCCGCTGGCACCCGATAGGGCCTCATTGTTACTCTGGCCCCAGGGTTTGTGACGATGTGGTGATATGTCTCGGTTGTTCGACCCGGTTTTGTCGAGAACACATCTTGGTTCCGGAAGATCATCTCAGACACCTCATTCTTCTGGTCAGGTGTTAAATCGGGAGACACCCTCACCTGTTTGGAAGGCTTGTTTTCCTGAGTTAGGTCTTTTTGGACGGTTGTGCATGCCTCTTGTGCATGCCAGGGTTTCAGAAGGTTAACGTGATAAATCTGTTCTTGTTTTCTGCGTCCTGGCTGCCGCACCTTGTAGGTTACTTCCCCCATGGGTTCAACCACCTCATAGGGCCCCTGCCATTGGGCCAGAAGCTTGCTTTCTGCCGGGGGTACCAACACCATAACCCGATCCCCTGGTTGGAACTGTCACACTTTTTGCCTGGCGATTGTAATGGGTTCGTTGGGCCTCCTGTGCCTTCTCCAAATGTTCCCGTACAATAGGGGTAACCCGGGCTATCTGTTCTCGCATCTGCATTATATGCTCTATTATATTTCTCCCCTCATTAGGTTCCTCTTCCCAGATCTCTTTGGCGATATCTAGTATGCCACGGGGATGACGCCCATATAATAACTCGACGGGGGAAAACCCAGTTGAGGCCTGTGGTACCTCCCGGATAGCGAACATAAGGTAGGGTGTCCCAATCCTTCCCGTCCCGACTTACCACCTTCCTTATCATAACCTTGAGGGTTCGGTTAAACCTTTCTACCAACCCATCAGTCTGCGGATGGTAGACCAAAGGGTATGTATATGGAGCAGCGTACAGAGGTCCTTCATTAGCTTCGACATAACCACCGACCAAGGAACCCCATTTATCTCCTTCGGTAGTCCCCTTCAGGCAAAGATCCCCACCAGCTCTTTGGCTATAGTTTTAGAAGCCGTGTTCCGCAGGGGAATGGCTTCTGGGTAGCGAGTAGCATAGTCCAAAACAACAAGTATATATTGGTGGCCCCGAGCCATCTTCTCCAAGGGGTCCCACTAGGTCCATGGCTATTCACTCGAAGGGGACCTCTATGATGGGAAGGGGTACTAAAGGTGCCCTCAAGTGGGGACATGGACTGTGCAGCTGACACTCCGGGCAGGAGGCACAGTACCTCTGCACTTCTTCATGTACTCCGGGCCAGAAGAACCGTCATAGGACTCGTGCCAGGGTCTTCTCTACCCCCAAATGCCCCCCAAAAAGATGACTATGAGCAAGACTTAATACAGCCTTCCGTATTAAGTGTGACAGCAGAGGTACTAGGATCTGCTGTACCTTCTGCCCCCGTACTGGTGCAACCCAGTATAAGAGATCCTTCTTCATTATGAAGTAGGGTCCTGGTCCCTGGGTTTTTCCTTCCATGGGGACCCCATCTATTTCAGTCACCTCCTTCCTAATGTTGTTATACCTTGGGTCTTCTGCCTGGTCCCGTCCAAAATTTCCTCTCCCGGGGCTAATCTGCCCAAGATCTAGAGGCCCAGTCTCTGTTGCCTCTACTGGTTCAGAAGCGTTAGGGTGGAGGTCAGACTCAGGTGCTTCTCCCTCCTGCGTGGCCTCCTTTTCAGCTGCGCGGGTCTACCTACCTACAAGAGCCACCCTCTGGCTTTGGGTCAGTATTCGGGTTCCCAAGGCCTTAGCTGCCCTTCTTTCCCTTTTTGACTTTCTACCCTGTCTGGGAGTGGAGAACAAATCTGGGGATATTTCAGAGAAGATTGGGGGTTGACAGTCTGCTGTGGATGCCTCACCAATTTTAGGGTCCCCATCTTTATCCAATCCCCCTACTGGGAGTAAGTTTCCAAACACTGGGAAGTCCCTCCCTATGAGCACCGGGTATGGGAGTTTAGGGACTACACATGCTGCTACCTCAGTAGTGTTCCCTTGAATCTCGATTTTTACTGGGATGGTGGGTAGTTAACATGTCCATGGGACAGTTAGTATACCCGTACGTTTAGCCTGCAGCAGCTGACTACGCTTCACGAGCTTCCCTGAGATAAGCGTGATAGCACTCCCCAAATCAACCAGTGCCGTGGTCCCTACCCCATTTAGTTTCACTGGTCTGGTATACATATGTGGGGTTAGTGAGACCCCCACAAGGTGGATTAGGGAGCATGGATCTGCCCGGTTCCCAGGTTACACTGCATAGGCTCCTCAGCATTGGGACACTGTACAGCTATGTGTCCCCACTCCCCGCAGGCATAACATCTGTATGGAGCCCTAGGCGTTCCCCGGTCTCTTGGTTTGGGCAGTCTAACATCACGATCCTCTTCTTCCTCAGTGCTCCGACTCTTTGTGGCCTCTGATGGGGCCTCTCTCTTTCTTTTTCCACCTGGGCCCTCCTGGTGGCCCAGTCACCCGAACTTTAGGGCTTGGTGCTGCTAGTTTAACCCGGGGTGCCTCTTCCTTAACTGGTCGGGTAAGCTCCCTCGCTGTCCTTCGCCTCTCTACCAGGGCGACAACCTCGTCATAGGTGGAGGGTTCGTTCTGGCTTACCCAGGCACAAAGGTCTGGTGGTAGTCCCCTCATGTATTGGTCGATGACCAGAACCGCTAGTATCTCTTCCGGACTCCGGGATTCTGTTTGCAACCACTTTCGTGCGAGATAGATGAGGTCATACAATTGGGACCATGGGGTTTTGTCTTCCTGGTACCTCCAACCGTGATACTGCTGGGCCCGCACTGCTGTTGTTACCCCAGATCTGGCCAGGATCTCTGCTTTCAGCTGGGGGTAGTCTGCCGCAGCCTCTTCAGGCAGATCATGGTAGGCCTTCTGGGCCTCCCCACACAGGAATGGGGCAAGGATGCCAGACCACTGATCTCGAGGCCAGGCTTCCCGTAGGGCTGT